TAAGATCAACAGGCCTCTGTTTGTTTGATTGACTGGCCGGCTAAAAATGGCTTCTGGCCCTCAGTCAGTTGATCTCTTACCAGACAGAATAGATTGGAGTGGCAGTCCTCCAGGCTCGCCCCGTTGGGTACAAAACAAGAACTCATCATCAAAGCGCAGTCCGGCGAGCCATCCTCTCTTTCAGATCCCAGGAACAGATAATGCGATGGGTTTTGGACCGGGTCTCCGTCTCTCGCACACAATCAGCAGGACGGGTTCGCGTCCAGCGAGCTAATTAGCTTAGCTCCGCTATGACTCCGCTAGAGGTTACTCACTTAACTTGCCAGGAAAAATTGCGCTAAAAACTTCCTGCGCGCATTTACCATGATCCGCGGTGAGATATTGTTCTCCCCCCAGATTTGTTACATCAAATAATATGAAATTTCAGCAGTCCGAGGGGGTAAGGGGGGTGAATTCAGCCCTCCCCCTTTAGCTTAGCATAGCATCAGGCTAGCTGGGGTTAGCCTGGCTAAGCGAGGCAGCAACAAACAGTTCAAGCCAGAAGAGTTCAGCTTCAAAATTCACTAAAAATCACTCGCTCCTTTCTAGGTCTTCACCGGACTGTCGTCAACGGCCATTCACGGAGAAGCTGACGATGGAAGTAGAAGGTTCTGGTTAAAAAGTACAGTTAAAAGAGACAAGGCTGTGCTGTGCTCAGCTGTGTCTCACTGGTTTGTTTGAATACATTGGTCGCATCCTTTAATGGCGGCCACAGGGACACAACTCTACAACACTCCACTCCAGTCTACTCTACTCTACTCGGCTCCGAACCGATTGGCAGCACTGCGACTCGATAGAGGAAAGAGTCGATGCTGGATTCCATAAAGCGCCAAAAGAGTCGACTCACCAACAGAGCTGTCAACTGCTTTTAGGGAGATTTTCGATCTTTTAGATGGGACCCCCATCCTAAAAACATAAAAAGCATCTGTATAGTTTATTGTATAAAGGCCCAATTTGTACTTTGAAAAAATATTATTATAAATTTGATTATTATTTTACAAAAAATACTTTATGTGGAATGTGTAGTTTCTATTGTTACATTTTTACTTTTTTATTTATAATACTGTACTTTTATATGTTATTTATTTAGCTATTTTTTATTTAAACTTAATTTTTTTATGAATCATCAATAATGCGATTATTTATTTATTCTTTCATTCATTCATTCCTTCATATTCTTTTAAACCTTTTCACAGACTCCATTGCCCCCTTGGAAGTCCCCGGACTCACGTGGAGTGTCAGTATTTTTACAATAAAGTAATTAAATAAATAAAATTGTACTCTTTCCACCCAAAATACTAACAATATTTATCATGATATTATTATTTTATGTATCACAATCTATAATGATATCATATATATTTTATTTATATAATAGAGTCATAATGTCATGATTATATATCTAGGTATTTCCACTTTCCCCCATGATTATGGGCTAACGATTTTTAAAATGTGTAATATGTTATGTAGGCTGCGTGTGTTTGAATGACAATAACAACTAATGGTAAATCTAACCAGGCATTACAAGAAAGTGGAAATTAAGTTGTTGCCACTAATTTCCTTTCTCCATGTCAAAATTAATATTTTTGTAGTGTTAATTAAGTTTGATTAATATAACTAAGATTTATATAACTATTTCTATGCACTAAATAAATATTTTGTTCTTTTTATTGGAATCTTGGAGTCTGATTCATTCCAATTTCACTTGTTATACCAGCTTCTCATCTACAAAAAATTCGATTGGTGAGCTGTGTTTATTGTGAGCATGGAAACTAAGCTTTCTGAATCATTCATGAGAGAAGCTGGGCAGGGACTTATGATGACATTGACATTAAAATAATAGCAACTGTGCTTGGCTGCATATATGGATTGATGGAAATACAAGGAGATCATTCATGAAGTATTATGGCATTTAAGTTATTGAATGTTTGTTAAGGCTTTGGTGAATATGGCTGAGGATTCATGCTAAGCAGTGAACTAGCAATTTTAATCTTATGACTGCTTAAATAAAAAGTCTAATGAATTCATATTAAAATAGACATTTATGCCATAACTGGACATTAAGTCATGTCAGCTGGACGAAAAATGTCTGGTTTTAAAGCAGAGCCAGTGAACTGCTGTTTCAGATAAACATTTATCATTGTTATTATTTAATGACTTGATGCTTCCAAATTTGAAATAAAATCAAGTGATGATTGAGTTAATACTTATTCAATAGAAAAAAAAATGTTTCATTACTTTTCAAATTCATTTGTTTTGACTGACAGACAGTGAAAAGTTCACACAATGTCAAGTCAAAAGCTGACGCTTAAAATTAAACAACTTACATTTTGCTTAAATGTGAGACATCATTAAAGTGTTTTGTTCTTTTATAGAGTGTATTTTCACACCCATTATGGGTTCATTAAGCTGACCCTTTCCCACGTTCACCCCTGCTGTGTATTTGACATGCTCTTTTGTGATTAATTAGGTTCAGCAACGCCTTGACAACCTTCTTTCTCCTAAATACTTGGGGCGTGTGTTACAGTAAAAAGAAAGTAGGCCTACATCTATGACAGAGGCTTCTATTAATCACATAGTAAGCTAAATATACACAATGAATAGGTACATTAGAATACATGTGATGTCAGTGATTTTGTGTGTGTGTGTGTGTGTGTGTGTGTGAGAGAGAGAGAGAGAGAGAGAAGCGCGCCATCTAGTGTACAATGAAAAGGCAATTGCATAAGATACACATACATTTTATATAATAAAACATAATATATACATGGATAATCACATATCCACATACGTATGAATTTATGAGAGAGAGAGAGAGTGTAGGTCTACCTTTGCTGTTAAAAAACCCAAACCATTAAAATGTAAAATTTAAGTTTAATTTACAACAACTGAAGTTTAATTTTAGCCGTAAACGAGATTTTAAGTAGAATCACCACATCGTGACCACCACCAATGTTAAATTCATTGTAGTTTTTCAAATCTTTTTTTAATTACTGAAAATCATTGCATGCTGCTCATGAGTATGAACGCTGAGATGGATTGACGATCGTTAATCACTTGTTGTATTGACCAAAGAAATGGTTTGATATTTGTGTGCTCAAACATTCACAATTTTATGTCATTTTTTCCTCATGAATTGTTTTGATCAGTAGTTGTTTTGTTTAAATTTTGAATGTAGCTAAAAACCATGTAGGCTGTTTAATGTCATTGATGGCTTTGTCTTTGGCAAGACTTATATAAAACTTATATGGCTATACAGAAATTGACTTTCAGATGAACCCAGGCTAGTTGGAGTACAAACTGTTTCAATTAAATTAGTGATCGCGTTCTAGCTTCAAGTTTAAATAGATGGCAACTGCAGATGTACAACAAAACAGTTCAAATAAAAAACAAATACATACCATTCTCTAAAATATGATTGATTACTGTACTCTTCACTGTTATGGTGCAATAAATCATATTTAGTGTGTCTTTCTAGCCCTTGCGCATGCGTCTTTGCTTCGGTTTGGACTAGCGCTCAGCACCAAGGACAGCGGCGAGCAAAAATACGCGCAGCCTAGATGATGATGATGATGATGATGATGATGATGACGTGAGGGTCGATGTGACGTCAAAGCCAGCGAATCACAGCAACACTCAAGCTCCCAGTGTATCTGACTTACAGTTGTAGTCAGTGAAAGATTTACTCATGGTTCTGTATTTAACACACGCACACACACACACACTCACAAAATAAAGGCTGAAATATCTGATCCTCTGTCATTTATTCATATATGATTTAATATATGTACACTGTAAAATATTTTTTCTTCTTATAACCAAATATCAGTTTACTTAAATCTTTCATATGTAGAGTACCCTAAAGTTTACTGATATGTTCTTTGTTTTCAATGGTGCTCACACAGCAACATATACAGACTCATCAAACATATGCTGAAAAGACAAGTTGGATGAAAATTTGTATTTTTAGAAGACAAACTCTGTAGCACAGTAAATGCAGAATCCATAAATGTTTGAAAAGTTCTGTCCATCAGTATTTTAGGTAAACAAACCAAAAGCTTCTATGGCAGTACATTGAGCACAGTGTCTCTAAAGTGATACAATTATTCATGAATTTTCACTAATTTTTTTGGTTGTAGTTATTTGTGCTTGGATTGGTTTCCATTGTTGTGGTTTTGTCAGTATTTATTACTGATGAATGAAATTACTGGTGTAATAAATAAGTCTTGCAATACATAAATAGTCCCTCTTGATTTTTTTTCACAGGTAAATCTGAGTGATCTAAAAAAAATACATTTATCTTTCATGACAAGATAATAGATGACTGGACCACAAAATTATCCATTTAAATATGATAAAAAATAATTGAAAGATTAAAGATAACTGCAGTTGCATAGTACCTAAAAGCCATCAGTCTTCAGTCATGTGCAACTAAAACAAAACATTACAAAAAAACAATTTCATAACTATCAATTACTGTCACAAAGGTCAAGATGATAAATGGTATGATTTAGAAAAAAAATCCCAAAACAAAGCAGTGTTTTGATCAGTAGTTATATATATTTTTACAATGCGCACTCGGACACCTGCAACTTAAGATCCTAAAAGACATTTCTTAAGGATGGTTGCACTATATATTCATACAATAGCATACATCAGTTCCAGAAATAAAATATATATAGTGGCCCCAAAGATTGTTTGGACATTTTTAGATTCACAGAATGTATGAGTTTCATTGTATCAGGAATGAAATGAGGCTAGACCTTTTCACAGAAGTCTTTTTGACATTTTTGCAATGCCTTTTAACCAACTGGTCCTGAAACAATTTATTGAGATACATATGAACACTGACATTTTACAACCACAAAATGCTATTGATCATTTAAAACTATACAAACTTTCTTGAAAAGTGTGCTTTTACAATGTTTTTTTTAAATATAATAATTTTTTATAATTTTCTATGGTTCGATATTTTGTTATTTAATGCAAAGACATTCATACATTTTTAAAAGTGCCCAAATATTTTTGGTGCCACTTTATTTCACAAGCCTTTACGATGTTAGTTGTGCAAAAACAGTTGTAGTGATGCCAACTGTAGTGTCATTTTCTCAGTTTTCTTAGAGATCCTGCAATCCTGATCATCTGTAAGATGTCCCAACTTGTCCTTATGATATGACAATGGCACATGCAAACATTTTAGAAACAAATGCTGTGCTGATGGGCATTGCTCCAGTGCTCCATGAGTGCTGGGCGGCTCGAGCATCCATTTGAGATGGATTACAGCATGTCATCCTGGTTTTCCCTGGTTGGAGTCCTTCTGCGTCGGAACCGCATGCTGGAGAAGAGGGACGAGGCAGTGAGGGCGACGCGGCTCAGGCCTACATTTAGACAGTGCACTTCTGACGTCACTGGCACCTCAGCGAAGAGAGCCCTGTCACGGGACACCCGCATGACGCTGTCGCTGTTCTCGATGTCCTTCACTATATTCAAGATCTCTTGCCTTTCTGTTTGTCGGGTCATCCCACGGATATTGAGTATGGCAGAAACATGCTTCCTCCTTCCAAACACAAGAAAGATTAATGTATGAGGCATATTGTCATATTAACAATAACTGTACAGTGCCATAATACATGGCTAAATAAGTGAAATATTGCATTAGTTAAACAGTAATATGGCTGCATGGTGAGTGGTCAGTACTGACACTATACTGGAATAGACTTTCATTAAGTGAATTTCTCTTTACATGCTTTGTTTGTCTTATTCAGAAAACAATTTTTTGTTTTCATAACTTGCAAAATGGAATATTCTTCTACAAAGACAACAAAGGTTATGTTTTAAAAGACTAGATCTTGTATTTGAAGTTTACTCTATAGATTTAGCAAACTGTAAAATGAATAAAAAAAAAGAGAGAAAGATCAAAACTGATAAAAATGGCAGTAAAGACATTTATAATGCTTCAAATATGTTATAATAATTTCAAATATGTGCTGTTTTTTTTAAATGGCTGCTGAAAGTTCAGCTTTGTCATCAAGGAATAAATTACATTTTAAAGTACATTAAAATAAAAAAGAAAACCGTTATTGTAATGTACTGTGCTGTATTCTTGATCAAGCCTTGGCAAGCATAAGAGACTTCTTCCAAAAACATAAAAAAATGTGCCAACCCCAAACTTTTAAATGGTAGTGTACTTATTTATTTAATTTTTCCTAATTGTTTCGCATTTCTTTTCCCAAATCCAAACTATACTAAACAAGTAAATACAAATAAATAAAAAACACAATTGGAAGAAACAAACAAAAAAATCTCTATAATATTCTATAATGTACTGTATATGTAAATGTATATGTAATGTATAATGTTTATCTGTATATAGCTGAAAAAACAGGGTGCAAAGAATCCTCATTTAACCTTCTCAGAGTTGGCTCCTGTTCATTCAAAGTTTCCCTAGATCATAAAATGTGTGAAGATATATACAGTAGATTGGAAAGATTCCAAATGTTCATCATTTTAAAACCCAAAGGTGTTGCTAATGCTAAACAATGGAGCCTGCAGCACATCTAGGTCACGTATTTGAAGTTGCAGGCTTTTTTTAGCACACATTCCACAAAAGAGAGTTTCCTCTGGATTCTGCAGCCGTATAGGGCTCTTGATTAGGCGACTGCCCTCTCTAGGTTAAACCATGGAGCTTTAGGTCAGGCCCTGGCAGGATGCCTGTGTTTTTGCTTTGTCTTTGTGAGGATCCAGAGCTGGACAACTGTACATCTTTCATGCGAATCTGGGATAACCAAACAGTCGCCCATAAGAATCAGGAAACCTCAAAGGTCTTGTTTGCTTTTACAAGCCCCTCGTTTGCTGTCAAACAGAATGACCATGTTTTGTCAGATGACCTGAGCTCTCTGCTTTTTGACCTAGATCATATCAGGGGCTACAAGGTGTCCCGGCCTAGCGGCACGCCGCCCCTCAAAACACTCACCGTATGTCAGGGAATTCCCGTACCAGGACACCAACTTCCATTTGGATGGAGGGAGTGTCTTCCAAGAGAATGATCTCCGATAAGTGAGGAATAGCGCTGTCGAGCCATGAGGCGGAAGATTCCTGGACGGGGGCAAACAAAGATAACATCAGATCTGTCACTAGATCCATCAAATCCTTCATATGTCGAGACCGATCAGCAACTGGAATTTGCAGATGAACGTTCAGATTAAACACAACTGCCTGGTACTAAAGACTTTTTCCAAAAGTACATTGTACAATGACTTCTGACAGACAGCCAAAGACCACAGGGCCCGAACGACTACGGCATACAATTAGAAAAGGCTATTTTTACCCTTGTCTCTGGAAAAACAAAAACCTAGAGGATTAAGTATAGGAGCACATGTTGTTCCAACTGAGGGTAAATATCTGTATGCCCATTACACCAAGGCAGTTCTTCCTGACTCGCAGTTTGACCTTAAAGGCAAGTCATGATTTCAAAGGCCCGGGCCAGGACATTCTTCCATAAACAAAGGCATCCTGTTGTCCACCGAGGTGACAAACGGGGCGGACACTGCACAGGGGAAAGGAGCGTTTGGGTGGGTCATAGAGATGCCCTTTGGAGCCAAGGGCGTGTTTGGCCATCTGCCTCCATGCCCACTCCAGAACTGCCCATTCTTCAGAATCTCTTTTGTTTGAAAGTTGTTGGCTGTAGATGGTTTTTGAGTGATTAAAAACAGGACATGACATTTTGGCAAGTGTGATGAATCTGGGAATAAGGATTTCATGGGGAAAATATATTTGCCAAACTAATAAAAATAAAATGAGGTTACACTTTATTTTACCCTGTCCCTTGTTACAGTGTAATTATACATTTAAGTGCTGATTAATATCAATTAACTACATTTACTTATTATATGGTTAGAGTTAGGATGAGGGTTTGGTTTAGGGTTAGTTGCATGTAAGTAGGCATAATTTATAGTTATTATTATAGTATACAAGTACATGTAACGTGTAACAAGGACACCATAAAATAAATTGTTACCTAAAATGATTCAGAAAACTGTACAAAAAAATCTCAAATTTTCCTAAATGTCCAGTAATTTTCCATGTTACAGTAACATATGAGGTGGTCAATTTGTTTCATACGTATGGGATTAAATGGGAAATCATAATTACATAACAGCAGGAGAAAAAAAAATCCAAAATATTTTTATACTCTGCTGATCAAACTCAAATTTTTTAAATTTACCAGTATTAGCATATTTTATAATTATATCAAAATTAATATAATCTATCTTGCTGATAGCAGGGTTGTTATTGTTAACTAAAAATAAACAAAAATTTAAAAATTTTGCCTTGGAAAGTAGCTGAAATAAGTTTAAGTTAAAGCACTAAAATTACTAACTGGAAATTAGATAAATCCTAAAGCTAAAACTGAAAAAAAAAAAAAAATACATGAAACCTAAAAAGTAATAAAAAATGACAAAAGCATATATCACAAAACTACTAAAATTAAAATAAACACTGAAAATATAGAAATAAAAGCTACATCCGATATATTAATAAAAATATAAAAACAGAACAGGGGTGGGTTTCACAAAAGCAACTATTGTCACAAATTCCGTCGTGAGCAATAGAGTGCAATGGAACATGCGACCATAGTTACCTATCGATGCTTTTGGGAAATGCACCCCAGGTCAGCAGGAGATAACAGATAATCAGCAGGAGAAATGAAAACCTTTTACTTTGATCTTTCAGATACGTGACTCACCAACTCTTTGAAGAGTGTTTTTAGGTGCTTTCCTTCATCACGAAGGCGGCCAGCCATTCTCTTCCTCATTTTGAGTGATGTGCAGATGATTCTGCCCCTCATGATGGCCCGCACATATTCAGTCATCACACGCCGGTGCACCTCCACCACCAGGACCTAAGAGGACACAGTAAATAAGAGGCTTATCTCACATAAACCCCAACATGTTGACCCATACAACGTATTTTTGGCTATTGCTACAAATATCTCCGTGCAACTTAAGACTGGTTTTGTGGTCCAGGGTCACATATATGAAACAGAAAAATCTTATTTCACCCTGAAGGGGTTCATTTTGGGATGCTGACTCTACGTTATCCACCCTATTATACAACTAAATCGACAATTAGACACACAATTGATTTGGGTTGAAATTGTTTTATGTAAAAAGAAAAGGTTGAGAGAGCTATATAGATTTTAGCAGTAATTGTACAAAAAATATTGGACCACAGAATTGTGATGAACCAATATGAATTTTAAAGAGCTGTGTAGATACAAGAATTAAAGAATCAAAACGTACTTGACAAAGCAGTAAAAATACAAATTTTAAAGAATCATTTATGATAAATTTGCAGATTGAGGGAGGAAATTGATGTTATTGACATCTTAGTTTACCTCATAAGGTGGATTGTCCATCCTGCGAAACTTCTTGAAGTGCTCTTTTATGAGCGCCTCGATTTGCTCAAAAGGTTCAGTGTTGCTCAGCCATTTTCGTTTAATCAGCTTATCAAAGAAGGGCTATGTGAAATCAGACAGAATTGTTTAGAAATGACATACACAGTACACACTAGAATGTACTATATTTGCCTTCACCAGGATGTGAGGGCTTTCATATTTAGAGACAAGAGAGTGCGGCTAACTTCCTGTTAGAGCCCCATATTGGTAAAAAAGGATGTAGTGAAACTATGTGGCCCATGAGAGCTGGTAATGCCAATCTGTACAGCAGACACTGAATACTGTTCGGCGTCAGGCCAAAAACATCTAATTCACTAGTGTTTTTCACATAGTGCTGCTATTTTAGTGTCTCAGAGCCAGAGTAGCTGTGCAAAACAACATCCTTGAGAACAGCCCATAGGGGAAATGCTGATAAGATATTCTTTATATTCTTGGACAGAGACGTATGACAAACATAAGAAAAATATGTGCGTGCATGTCTATGTGAGGAAGTGTGGGGTGATCTGTGGCAGCCTCACCCTGATATGTTCAAAAAGTCTGTCGTTCAGCACTCTCACACTCAAGTTGACTATCCTGTCCAGAGCTGTGTTAGCTCTACGAATCGAGTCCTCGCTGGTCGAGGGGTCACACTGGCCGCAACGCTCCACAAAGCTCCTAAACACACCAATCTATATTACAAAAACTCTAAAATAATACAAAAAAAACATCATATAAATAAAGGACTTTGAGGAAGCCTACCTGAACGGTGGACAGCAGTTGACAAGAGCGATTGTTTTAGCGATGTAACCATCTTCATTTTCTCCACAGCTGTTTACGAGCATCTCATGGAACATCTCCACCTTTCGCTGAAAACTGCAGCAAAAACAAAACCTTTGAGGATGGCATGTAGATAGTCTGACACATTTCTATGGGAATGATCTAACTAAAGATATAAAATGCATTTATCTAATAAATAAGCAATTTCTAAGGCATTTAGGACATTAAAAAAGGGTTGGTCATTGATGGGAGATAATTTGGGCACCTATCTTGGAACCCCATATAGGGTCCAAGATACAGTAAAACAGTAAGATTGTGAAATATTATTACAAATTAAAATCTATTTGAATACATTTTAAAATGTAATTTATTCCTGTGATGACAAAGTTGAATTTTCAGCATCATTACTCCAGTCTTCAGTGTCACATGATCCTTCAGAAATCATTCTAATATGCCGATTTGCTCCTTAAGAAACATTTTCTATTATCAATGTTGAAAAATATTTGCTAAATATTTGCTAATAAATGCTAAAAAAAAAAATTCTTTGATGAATACACAGTTCAATGTGTATTTGAAATAGAAAATATTTTGTAACACTGTAAAAGTATTTAGTGTCACTTTTGATCAATTTAATGCGTCCTTGCTGAATAAAAGTATTAATTTCTGACTCCAAACATTTGAACGGTAGTGTCACATTTCAAGCATCACTTTCCCACCTGTACAGGAAATCTGCCAGTCCGTTGAGACTGCATTGAGCAACCCGTGAGCCCAAATCTCTGTTTACAACTGCAGATCTCTCAAGGTCTTCTTGTAGCCTCTATAATCAAAAATATAAGAAAACATGTTATTTTACAGCAAGTACACACCAATAAACACTGTTACAATTAAAATCTGTTACAAAATTCCTTAATTTAGTCTTGAAATATCAGCAAACAAATAAAGTGACTATTTTCTGAAATATATTTGCTTAATTTCATTCATGACCACTAGGGTGCAATACAGAGCCTGCAAAAACAATGTGTTGTAATGGAAACATGCTCACAATGGGAAATGTTTATTTATTTGAATTCCAGCTAGGAGACGATTTTCTTGTTACACAGAGGTGCACGGATGCCATTCGACATGTCTTACGTTTTGTTCTAACAACAGACCCAGTGTCTAAAACCTGCTGCAAATATTGCAGACGGCCAGGAACAGTGGGCCATTATACACAAAATCAATACTGAGAAAATGGATTAAAGTAACAAGTGATGTCACATGCTCTGACACCATATGTCTAGCACAATATCCTATTTTATATAAATGAGCATAAATGGTCCTGCGCTGACCTGAATAACAGTGCGAGCCAGAGGTAACTGATACTCTTCGACGTTCAGGGTGTCCAGCCATCTCTTTTCCTCCTCCTCCAAAACCTGAGACAGCTCATTGGTCACTTTACCCTGGAAAACACAACATTTCAACATACTCTTTAAAAGCAGCCTTGCTGTGAGAGGGGATGACCATATTGGCGCCTGTATTGGGTATGTACGAAATTATAGCATCCATAAGGAAACAATCACTCTATTAACACATCCATGACATAAAGTATTCGACTAATGTCACTATTTTCAGGATGGGCTAAAGGATTATTAAAAGGCCACACATTCACGTTGCTTAATGAGCGAAGGGGAAAATATGTTGTCAAAGTGACGCCTATTGTGTAGTGCTCATTGTCGACAGGAAAACCGTGCGTTGACCCCGAAATGCCGCACTGTAATTGACCGTGCAGGTTGCAATGACCAGCCATCTCTTTGAGTGGACAGGATGTGCCGTTGTTCAATGTACACAGAAAATGCTACAAGATACTTGGGGATGAAGTTTGGGAATTTCAGTTCTTACCCTGACTGAGTTGAGGCAGTCAAGCTCGAGTTTTTCCACCGTCTCCGCTGGCAGCAGTGGGCCGAGCTGTGAGAGGTTAATGGGTGTTGTTATGGTGACTGTTCCAAGGACATCTCTGCAGCAACAACAGGAAGAGCAAATCACAAACTAAGTCTGGACTTCACTCATAAGGAAACACTGAATTATGAAGGAACAGGAATGGGAAGGTACAAGAGTGGCTTTCACCTCTCATATCAACCAGAAGCTATTTATAACAATCTGTTTTAGGTTTGCTGTTGCTGTATGTGGCTTGACAACTGGATACAGCCAGTGATACTTAACAATACAAACTACAAAACAGGCCATCGCTAATGTACATTGCCACCGGATTTTCTTTTTATATCGTTAAAAATTTTGGGGTTGGAAAGATAAAAAAAAAGTAATTGCTTATGTTTACAAAGGCTGCATTTGATCAAAAATACAATAAAGCAGTAATATTGTGAAATATTATTACAGTTTAAAATAACAGTTTTCTATTTTAAAGTGTAATTTATTTCTGTGATGCAAAGCTGAATTTTTAGCATCATTACTCCAGTCTTCAGTGTCACATGATCATTTAGAAATCATTCTAATATACTGATTTGATGCTCAAGAAACATTTCTTACTATTATCAATGTTGAAAACAGCTGCTTAATATTTTTGTGAAAACTGTAATACATTTCTCAGTTCAAAATAACATCATTTATTTGAAATATAACTCTTTTGGAACATTATAAATGCCTTTACTGTCACTTCTGATCAATTTAATGCACCCTTGCTGAATAAAGTATTAATTTCTTTCAAAAACAAAAAAAACTTAATGACCCCAAACTTTTCCTCTAAACGAAAAAAAAAATTGTCTGTCAAAATCTGTTCACTCATTCTAACTTCATTTCAACACGAAACAGAAAATTTTCTGTTCGGTGAAACACAAAATGAGATATTTTTCATGCTGTTTTTGTTCCCATACAATAAACGTAAATAGGGATTGGGCCTATCAAGCTTTAAAACGTGACAAAAACACCATAAAAGTAATCCATATTATTAAAAATGCTAAATTCAAAGTCTTCTGAAGTCATATCGAAGGTTTATATGAAGAACAACCTGAAATTAGAGTTGCCAATCACAAATATTCAGTCCTCAAATTTCATTTGCACACATACAAATTCAAATTTGCTGTTTTACTCAGAAGAAACACTACCAATGTGTCAAACCTGACACATAACATTTGAATATGGCTTCAGAAAACTTAATAAGGACCACTTTTAAAATACGATTTAAGAACTTGTTTTGAGTGAACGATCCTAGTCAAACTGCTGGTGTTTACCTATTGTAAATGTTGTAGAGCCAGTCTAGTAAAGAGTATATGTCAGTGATTTGCAGATCTCCATTAGTAATAGCTTGGAGACGACGGGTAACAGCCTGATGGTAGCTCTGTGTGTACACTTGGAAGGAGTCATATTCCACAGGATATACAGACACCACATTACGCCGAGCCGCTCCGAGGTCCTCCACCATACGCACTCTTAGCTTATCCAGATAGGCTGCGAGCTCGCCTTCCCGTGCTTCTTCATGCTGGGGTAGGTTTGCATCAGCCAACTCGACTACCGCCTCCCTCCAGCGTTTCTTGAACTCCCTCGGCCGTGGGCCTCCTGGAGCGGCTCCTTCACTCTGAGCCCAGTTCCGATCGGCTTGCTCCTCCTGCTGAAGCACCTGCACCACCAGGCCCAGGTTGGGCCCGGCGGTGGGGCAACGCAGAGATTCCCTCACCACGTCCCACAACACTTTCTGCAGGGCCTCGTACAGCAGCTCCACATCTTTGGCTTTGCGCCGACTGCTGTCTTTGCTGCTGGGGCTGCTAAAATCCTCAGTGCCCCCTGCCGTCGGGGATTCGGCCTCCCTACACTCCTGCTCCAGCTCCAGAATGTGAGTGTCAGCCAAAAACAAATCTCTTTTTGTCACCAACTGCAGGATCTCCAATACTGACAAAACATAGAAAAAGAGGTTATCCATTAGTCACACAGCAAAGACTGAATACTGCATTCTTTCATTGTTTAGTCACCCTCATGTATTTACAAACCGTATGCTGACATACTTTCCATGGAACTTAAAAAAAAACTATTTGTAAAGTATCTTCATCTTCATTTTAAATCAGTAAGGAATAAAGAAAAACAGTTATAAAGTACACAAAAATAGTCAAAGGTTGTATTATATTACACTGAACAAAATTATAAACGCAACACTTTTGTTTTTGCCCCCATTTTTCATGAGCTGAACTCAAAGATCTAAGAACTGCAGTCAGGTTGAGACCCCGATGAGGACGACGAGCATGCAGGTCCTGGGCCGGTGTGGTTACACGTGGTCTGAGGTTGTGAGGCCGTGGACATTCCTGCAGTCAGCATGCCAATTGCACGCTCCCTCAAAACTTGCGACATCTGTGGCATTGTGCTGTGTGATAAAACTACACATTTTAGAGTGGCCTTTTATTGTGGCCAGCCTAAGGCACACCTGTGCAATAATCATGCTGTCTAATCAGCATCTTGATATGCCACACCTGTGAGGTGGATGGATTATCTTGGCAAAGGAGAAGTGCTCACTAACACAGATTTAGACAGATTTGTGAACAATATTTGAGAGAAATAGGCCTTTTGTGTACATAGAAAAAGTCTTAGATCTTTGAGTTCAGCTCATGACAAATGGGGGCAAAAACAAAAGTGTTGCGTTTATAATTTTGTTCAGTGTATATCATATCATATCATATCATATATCATATATCATATATCATATCATATCATATATATCATATATCATATCATATATTATAAATAATTCTATAAATATTATCAATTCAAAGCATTACAGTAAATCATTTGGGCCTATTTAGATTTTTTTTCGTTGTCTTTTTTCCTTATCACATGTTTTAGCAATCGTCATAAACTAGATGTCATTTGAAAGCTTAGAAACTCAAGATTCATCCTATGAAAACCATCGGACATTGCCTTACCATGGAAATTGTACTTTAAAGTCTCATCCCCCTTAGTGGGTGGTGTCAAGTGTCATATTACAAAATGTATTACAGTATTTTATAGAATCTTGATAAAATACATATTTGTGGAAAGGTCTGAGTCTCAAGATTCCATATTTGGTGGCTATTTTGTGCTAGAAGTAATACAGAGCAATGTATACATTTGTGACAGAAAAGTGCATCAAAAAATTCAGTGGAGTTCCGGTGTCATCCGGTGACTTTTTTTGGTATAATGCCTTAAATAAAATCTCACAGGGACCTCTTTTTTTTTTTAAATATCAACTTCAATTTTGTAACATAAATTATTTAGACAAAAGACTTTAAATTTGTAGCAATTTTGGATTAAGACATTTTGTCAAATTTTATTTTATATAAAATAAAAAAAATAGTACAATGCATTTTCTTTACAGTAAATTTTAATTTCTATAGCTTTTTCATACTTTCATTTTTCGAAATGATTCAATTTCTGCAATAATCTGCTGATTGTCTTCTTTAAAAAAGAGAACAACCTTAGGTCTGTCCAAAGTGTAACAATTTAAGTTTGGATAATGCATTTTCACGTCTATGTTCAAAAATGGGGGGTGACAGTTAAGGGGTTATATTTTTAATCACAATTAAAGCACAAAATTCATGATCATGACAGGCCTAGCCATAGGACATTTGAGAGCCACAGCGAAGATGAAAATAACAACAATTCCTTTAAACTCTGTAGCATCATGTTTATGTTACTAATACACCTTAAATTAACAAATTCCAAACTTAAAGCTCCTACTTTTATGAATCTGGGATTGCTGTATGCCATGCTCAAATCAGCAATGATATTTTTTGTTGAATAGAAATTAAAAGAGCAAAAACTTTTGTCTGAACTCACACTTTATGATTCAATATATATATTAATTAGTTATTTAAAGCCTCAGCAAACTACCATTAAAACGAGGCAAAACAAAATGGCTGGTCAATATCAAAATATTTTTCATTATCCAGTAAACTTGGACCTTGAAACTTGGAAAATAGGGAGCTGAGAACCACTGTTCTTAGCATGGGAGAAGATGGATGAATATGGGAACATTATTTTGGCCATTCAATAAAGTTCTTCAGAATTCCCCCATTGGTAGATTTCATGCCATTAAACCTAAAACATAAATGCAATATATCTTCCAGATGGTCAAAAGGACTGCCAATGCACTCTGCTGGCTATAGTTTATAATGATCTCACTTTTGTTTCTTACGTGTAGCAGCACTTTTTGACATTCCAAAGAAATCTTTGATGAAGCAGACAGGCCCTCATTGAGGTCAGCACTCACACCCATCCTTCATTATTTCCATTACTTTCCTTTGGGTTGAACACATTTACTTGGGCTAACAAATTGATCTGATTACTGGTGATAGATTTTGACAAGCTTCAAGTATGGAAAAGAAAGTCAAGAGGTCTACAAGTTCACATACTGAAAAGACTAGCAGAGCTGGTCACCAGTATGTTGTGTTATGGATACAGGTGCCCAGCATGTAATGTCCCCAAGAGGTTTCTTACTAGCTTAATCAGTAAAAATATATTTATATATCATTCATATTACATATTAACACAGTGTATATTATATACTGTATGTACATATATATATATATATACTGGTGACATATTTCATCAAAAACACAGTAAAAACAGCAATGTTGTGAAAAAAGTAATTTATTTCTGTGATGGCAAAGCTGAATTTTTAGCATCATTACTCCAGTCTTCAGTGTTACATGATCCTTCAGAAATCACTCTGCTGATATGCTGATTTGGTGCTCAAGAAACATTTTTTTTTTTTCAACATTGAAAACAGATTTTTCTGCTTCATATTTTGTGTAAAACGTGATAAGAATAAAATTTTAAAACATAATTTAATTAATACTTTTATTCATTAAATGAATCAGAAGTGACAGTAAAGACATTTATAGTGTTATAAAAAATCAATTTCAAATAAATGCTGTTCAGTGAACTTTCTTTTCAACAAAGAATCCTGAAAAAACGTGTCATGGTTTCCACAAAAATATTAGGCATTGACATTGACAATTGAGCACCAAATCAGCATATGAGAATGATTTCTGAGGGATCATGTGACACTGAAGACTGGAATAACTGCTGCTGAAAATTCAGCTTTGCCATCACAGGGATAAATTACATTTTAAAATGTATTAAAATAGAAAACAGCTGTTCATAAATTGTAATAATATTTCACAATATATTTACTGCATAAGGGACTTCTTTCAAAAACATTTAAATCTCTTAATTATTCCAAACTTTTGGCCTACAATGTATATATTTTTAATAAATGATATATATGTAATGTGTAGCATTATACACACGCGCACACACTTCTACTCTTCTATTCATTTCTTCTGTTAAGCTTTCTTTCTGACCATTTTCAAGATGCATCTGTCACAAATCAGCTGTGCAAATAATTGTCCCTGCTGTTGAATTCCTCCTCAGAACACTGAATGGACGGTAAGGGGCTCTTTGCGGTGCTGAGTTGCCCATTTATTTCCTGTGACTTCCTGACCTTTTCTTAGAGGGAAGGATGCAGGGGTGTTGGTTTGCGCCTGATTCATCTGTCCCTATCCCTATCAAGGATGGACTGTCCTGTAATGCCACGACAGACCCCACACCCTTCTCAAGCGTCTCGCATAATAACAGCCCAAGTGTGCCAGTCCATCGGAAGGAGATCTAAATATAAAATACAATACCGCCAGGGTTATCACTAACACAGACGGGGGACAAGGTGGAAAAATCCCTGTTAAAACTTAGAATCACTTCCTCTGCAACTCATCCATGTGAAAAGTCCTCCACCCAAGGACAACATGTCACTGTATCATCTCAATGACTTTGAGACCGGACTGCTGATGTTCATACCTGGAGGAAGAAAAGGTTGACCCTGTAACCTTCAGTCTGAGAGGAAGAGTTTAAGAACTGGCTTCCTTTTAACTGATAAAAGAGAATATTAATAAAAGTGGCCATGCCCCAGAGGAAGTTGAATATAAATTGGAATAACAGGAATTGGAATTTACTGTATTCTAATTCAAAGAAATTCAGCAGGTAATGGCATTCCTGGTAATGAACTGTTTGTCTACCCTTGTACATGAATCTATCTGTTTGCACGGCTCATAAAACCTTCACATTTTAAGACTTTTTCAAACTTTTAAACTGTCAAACAAGGTTGTGTGTGTTATATAATATATACTTATAAATACTTGCATATTGTAACTTACATACCGGAGTCAGTACGATTTGTTTTAAAGAAATTAATGCTTTTATTCAGCAAGGGCACATTAAATTGATCAAAATCTTCAGCATAAACTTCTATAATGTTACAAAATGTCTCAATTTCAAATAAAAGCTGTTCTTTTGAACTTTCAAGTCATCAAAGAATGTATCAAAAATGTATCATGGTTTTCAAAAAATATGAAGCAGCTCAACTATTTGCAACATTGATATTACAGTCTCGTACCGGCAGGGATTGTAGGTGGGGGGAGTGAATGTACAGCGCTCTCTCCCACCTTCAGTTCCACGACTGAGGTGCCCTTGAGCAAGGCACCGAACCCCCAACTGCTCCCCGGGCGCCGCAGCATAAATGGCTGCCCACTGCTCCGGGTGTGTGTTCACGGTGTGTGTGTGTTCACTGCTGTGTGTGTGCACTTTGGATGGGATAAATGCAGAGCACTAATTCCAAGTATGGGTCACCATATTTGGCCACATGTCACATCACTATCACTTTCACTTTTCACTTTCACTTAATGTTGTTTATTGTTTACTGACTATCTCAGCATCATTACAGGTACCCAAGGATGGTTGTCATTAAAAAAACACTGAATTATTTTGCTGTTACAATGAAATGTCAATACCAATTTACCAGAAATGAAAATACAAAAAATTACATCATGAAAATGCACAGAGTACATTTTTAAATCCATAATCATATAATGGTCTACACATATAGGGAATAGGTAATCTCCTGTATAAATGTTTCTTGAGTAGAAAATCAGGATATTAGAATGATTTCTGAAGGATCATGTGACACTGAAGTCTGGAGTAATGATGCTGAAAATTTCCGCTTTGCTGTCACAGGAATTGATTACATTTTAAGATATATTAAATTAGAAAAAGTTATTTTAAATTGTAATAAAATGTAACAATATTACTGTTTTAATTGTATTTTTGATCAAACAAATGCAGCCTTGGTGAGCATAAGAGACTTCTTTCAAAAACATTAAAAATACCATCCTCACACTTTTGAACAGTAGTGATTTATATATATATATATACACACATGCACTTGTGTAGAATGACAGACATTAATATTGGAAAAGCAATGATCCAGAAGTTGAAATCCATGTAGTTTAAATGGTTTTATCCCACAGTCATTAAAATGCAGAGCGCTGCCAGTAACTGCGCTGAGCTGTGCAGAGGACAACACTAGCTCTTTGTTTCCACAGAGTCTCACGCACTAAATTCATGGTGTGGAGCATACTTCACTTAAGCATGGACATGTCACCACCCTTCCTTAATGAAAACCACAGGGATTGAAGTGTTGCCTTTTAAGGGCACATATGGCACATATGCTACACATATACCCCCACCACAACTTCCAAGAGGACATAACACTGTTTGCTTTTGGATGAGGATTTAAAAGGGTGGGGGCTGACAACCAACTCGACTGAAAAGATCTGACTAAGCAAGATATCCTCTAACATAGCTCCAACACACCTGCACAACCAACACCTCTCAGCAGGACCAATCAGCCATTACAAGGAAAAGATTAGGCTTGATTCTAGGAATGCAATGGAATACGATCTGTTCTTTGTCGTGCCACAGGTTCGGGACCATTTTCCATTAACCCTCTGTGTTTCAAAGTTAAAACCCTCCTGTCAAGCCGGAGCACAAGAAACCAAAGAACTTGAGGAATAGCAGCCCACAGAAACTCATTTATTCATTTCCCCTATTTAATGCACAGCATGTGCAGAGTAGACATATTTTCCCCAGAAGTGAAATATTTAATAAATGGAGGACGACTGTATTTCCTGCCTCTGCCTTAGCGGCGCAGATGGGTCGAGTAATACTGAGCCTGTCCTGAAGGAATTGCACATGCTAAAATTTTGTTTCAACGTCCAGGCCCAGTGAGATGAAGTGGCTTCCAAGTGGCAACTGGCCTCGCCTGCCACTGGAGACCTTTAGGTCAGGATGCAAAATGATTACATGAGCCTTCTCAGGACAGATCGGTTCTACTCCCTTCTTAATTTATTTGGACATGGCCAGCATCAACAGAACAAACCTAAATGGGACCATTTGGAAAATGCAAACTCCACCTTACTCTAAGTGCTTCCCTGCCCTCACTTAATGTTGGTTTATTTGAGATGCATTAACAAATCCTCCTGCCAAATGTTGGACAATAGCTGGATAAGGTGGAAGTGTTGGCTATTCCTTTCACGAGTGACTGCCAATTGGCATGCAGGAATATTTGCTTTCATAAATGGGAATGCATTGACTGCAAACATTCCACTCAGATACTGATTCCATGGTGGCCATGACAGAATGGTTCTCAGCTGTAGTTATGGCTTATGGTTGGAGGTTGCGAGGTTGTAATTTGGCGAGGTCTGGAAATCATTCACTAGGATGAGGGGTAAACGTCCTTCTATATGGTTTCTTTATCAATTCAGTCAGATCTCATCTTACCCTCTGCCAATCCCAAAGACAACTAAATGCTTTCAGTCTTGATAGATACCAGCAACTCAGAGTGAGTTCTCTGAACTCACAACAAAGCAACGTTTTAGTTGCAACATGCTTCGTGTTCCAAGAACAATTTTTTTTTCATATTGTTGCGACATCATTGAAAGGATGGTACTGTTGTTAAAGAAAAATGACTAGATTTACCACCCTTGGTGGAACTGTATACTATGTTTACTGTATACTGTATACAGTGGGGCCTAAAGGGGTGCGACTACTAGTGAAAATGCTTCTATTTTGCATTTTTCTGATTTAACACAATTTTATTTCCATCACAAATTATATTGCCAGCAAAACAATATGAATGAAATTTAGACTTTAGATCTCAGAATTAAATTGTTACATTTCTTAATTTTAATATGTGGTTCTCCTTTTATTATGCATTTAGAGCAATATATATAGATAGATAGATAGATATATATTGTGCCGCTTGAAAGTTTGTGAACCCTTTAGAATTTTCTATATTTCTGCATAAATATGTGTAACGATTCAGTCCACTGAAGGCAAGCGTAGTGAAGAACCCAAGTGCAGTTTATTTACAGACGTGTTCCAAACATAAACCGAGACACAGACTTGACTTGACTTGACATGAACAGACTTGACTTGACGAGGCATGAACAGACTTGACATGAACAGACTTGACGTGGCATGAACAGACTAGACTCACCGACAGCGGGTTACAACTTCAATACACGACGACAGACAATGGCAACATGATGGCTACTTATAGGAAACAAGAGGGTCACATGACAAAACAAACCAATGGGAAACAAGACACATGACTAAAACAACCAATCAGAACATGACACATACACAAGGCAGAGAGACATGAGGCAAGGGAAGCATGACACTAACATCAGGAAACAATTACAAAATAAAAGACATGGACATGAACATGAAACAAAAACAAAACCCAAACCCCACATTACAATATGACACAAAACATAATCAAAATTTCACACAAGTCCTGAAAATTGACAAAGAGAACCCAATCAAACAAATGAGATGAAAATATATACTTGGTCATTTATTTATTCAGGAAAATAATCCAATATTACATATCTGTGAGTGGCAAAAGTATGTGAATCTCTTGGATTGGCAGTTAATATGAAGGTGAAATTAGAGTCCATACTTCATTTTTTTAAAAATCTTACCAACCACAAACTGAACAGTAGTGTGTACATATATTGTTTATTATAATAGTTCATATAAATAATTATATCAGTTATATGTTGAGCTATGGAGCAAGGTTGGTAAAGCAATGACACAGGAAGTAAAGGCATTGATAATGTTTTGTCAACTCCTACTCAAGTGAAATCTGATCTGGCAGCAGAACTGACAATTGACAGTTGAAACACCCTCCATGAACAGCATTCACGTCCTGTTCTTTGATCCATTTTCTGGATTTTCTTGCATGTGAAGCGACCGAGGCATGTGTGGCATTACATGTTATTTGAAGCGTTACTTACTCATTTAACCTATGTCCCATATATTATTTTAATGCATCGTGAAGATGTTTGATAACATTCTTCAAAAAGGCTCTCTGTGAGTTAAATAATTAAAGCCTTGATTATCATTCACTCAGGAATGTGGGGCCACTTGAGAACAGCTGGGTGGATGGAGCAATGCTTTCTTTTGTCACAACACTTATGTCTGCAAAATAAATGAGAAGTAGGCCTATTATTTAAGCTCATACAGAAGAACTTTTCTGGAATACTTAAGAAACTACAAAAGCAGACTAAACTAAGAAAAACGTGTTCACCATTGGAATGTTGTTAATATGGCATCTGATCAATGTGTGAACAAAAATGCTCTTCACCCAAATTACGTTTACGTTTCTGGTGGTCTCTTCAGCTGAGAGTTGCTGAACGAACAACTTGGAAACCCGCATGACTGGTCACCAGAAGGTTTCCCGTCAACATAATGTGGCTAAAAACACAAATAAAAAGTGATTTTTTGCTGTGTCAGCTGCGACATGCAAAGCAGCAAGAATCACTAACCCTGTCCCCCCCTGCTGAAACAAAGCAAAGACATGACCAAGCATGACACTGTGGGGCACATTCAGTTCCCCTTTGCTCAGATTCCTCTTTTATCATGTTCCATGCTGCATTTACACAAGGGGAAGAGAATGATGGTTTTAAATTTGACAGCCCCTTAGCCTGTATGGTGAAAACAGCAGAAAAGTCTTAAAAATCAGCTAAAATGCATGCCGCTCTGACGGGCATGTTTCCCGATTATCAATCTTTCTGCAAAATTTAGTTCCAACTCTAATCAAACACACATGAACCTGCTAATCAGAGTCTTGCTTAAAATTACTGAGTAATTATGTAAGAGCAATTGTGTAAGAGCAGGGCTGAAACTAAATTCTACTAGGTTGAACACACAATGAATCTGTTTAACAAATGCACAAGCAACCACTAACAACGGTAAATATGTTTGCAAAACAGTCCAGGCCTGCGATGCTAGGAACTGGTATTGCTAGGTTGATGGTCCCAATCTGATCCTTCACTACCATCCTTTATGCTTATTTTCTTTAACCAACAGAGCCTGCAAGTTGTTGCTGGTTTTGAACCTTATCTCTCCTTATCTTTCAGTAAAACGCCTGAAACCTGAGCATGAAATCATGTGCAAATTCCTGCCTGGCATGTACTGTGTTCATTCAGGACAAGCTAAACAATCAAGCTCTGGTACAGTACAGCTGTGGTCAAAAGTTTAGGAACAAGCATTAAAGATAGTTGTACATTTGTAGTTGAATTAGTTTGCAAATAATCCCATGTTTAATGCTATCACAGTCTATGAAGACTGTCTGTAGATTTTCTAGAAGGGCAATACAATTAGGCTTCAAAAGAATATTCATAAATACTGTATTACAGTGAAACAAACAATTACAAAACAACTGTTAAATAAATAGCCAAACTGCCAATGAATGTTTACTTAATTTGATGTACTGTGAGGAATATGAGTCTATGAGTTGCTGAATGGTTACTCTACAAATGCACAGCTTCATATTCAGTTGGCTTTTTACCTGAAAGTGGCTCCCTGGGTTTGACCTCGGGCACCTCCTCCACTGGTTCCTCCTCAGGCCCCTGAGATGAGTGGTCCTGCATGGACTCCCTCTTAATCTTGCCCTTGCCCACCATCTTCATGAAGGAGAGTCGGCGACTGGTAGAGTCAGCATCAGTTTCTGAGCACAGGTCACCATTGGTCAAGCTCTCCATGCGATCTTTGCACTTTCCGGCCATTCTATAGAAAGAAGAAAGGTGACGAGGAGAAGTGTGTTGAGAACAGTGTGTCTATTCTACTAGTGGCAACAAATGTAACTGCAAAAATCATTTTACAAACACTCCTACCTACTATTTGCAATAAATCAGCACATAAAAAAACATTGGGATTCAAGTTAAACCGCTTATCCCTCTACGTTTCTTTCTCATCTTAGTGCTGGGAACCGATATGGAGTGCATTAGTGGACGTCCACTTTTCAGCTGCAGTATATTTTTCCAATTCATTTTTCCCATTGGGATTTTAAAAATAGTTTTTGTTGAAGAGTTATAAGTCATGAACCATCCAGCTACAAAGTGAATCACAACATTTCAAACCTTGAATTGAAGCAAAACAGTACTGGAATATCGGACAAACAGACAAAAATACAAGACTGTGTGCTTATGTCTTAATATATGCATTTAAATCCCATTAAAATGAACCAATCTACAAACAAATCTTCTGCTGTGAGTTGCAGTTCTTTTCTGTACAAATACTGGCTACAAAAACACAGATGAGGAAAACAACACAGTCCACTCCAGGAGAGACACTAGCCTTAGTTTGTCAGCATCTTGCCAACACCAAAACTGTCTGAAAATATTGTATAGAATATAGAAAAACTGAAAAGATGTAAAGAAAAGATGGGAAAAGCACTGATAATATCTATGCAAATGACGTTATAAGAGGTAAAATTGGAAAAGACTCAGCACAAGGAAACTCATCTGAACTCACAGGTACTGAGAGTAATAATTCACTCAGTTTTCATGCTTTCATTTGATGTGTGCTGTTATGTGGATAAATAAAGAGAATAACAGCATGTTTGTTCATCTGTGTATCACGCTCACTCAAGAACGACAACAGTTCATATCCAAGAATGAAAATGTGACCAGTGAGAGAAACCAGCTAATACTCAAGAACACAAACCTGACAAATGAGAGAGAACAGCTAAGAAATGAACTTCTGATTCTTGGTAAAGTTTCTTTAGTCTATGTAGTTATTTGCTATCCACCTTCCTAACATATTTGCAAGCTAAATGTGTCCAGTTTCTGGTGTCATCCACTTCCACCTGTTCTTAGCTGAACAAAACAGCTCTTTATGCTGCTTGATATTGTAAACTGGTATTTCTGATCATATTATTTTAATGTACTGCTGTAATTATAAACAATCTGGTCAGTAGTGCAAAATGTTTTACCGCTTACTGCACTTTGTTATTTTTATTCTATTCTATATCGATCATTCACAGCTTAGTTCCACGTTGAATACATTTAGATTAACTTGACAAAAGTTGGAGGAATATAAAAGTATTGCTTTAAAGTTACTGATAATATATACAGAATTAATATATTTTACATTTATTGCAAAATATCCCTATATATTCATAAATACTCAAGTAGATGGAGAGTGTAGGGAGACTGACTTGATTACGTCATTTGCAGTGCTTCATGGGAGTATAGTATTTTATAAAAAATAAATGAATAAATTAATATTACCACATTTTTCATTTGTTATATATATATATATATATATATATATTTGTGTGTGTGTGTGTGTGTGTGTAATGTATTATCTAGTTAAAGTGATAGTTCACCCAAAAATTTTAATTCTGTCATCAGTTACTCACCCTCATGTCACTCCAAACCCATAAGAATTTGGTTAATCTTCAAAACTCTGTAAAACACTTGATTAAGACACTTGATTCATATGAATTTGCTATACAATGCTTTTATGACCTTTTTGGATTTTCATTTTTGAGTGAACTATCCCTTTAAAGGTCAATTATTGGACTGCATTTATGCCACTCCCAAAAAGTTTGTGTAGAAACACCTTGAAGTAATGAACTCATTAATCAACCATTAAGGAATCATTAAGAGGAATTGGAACTGTTAAATTCTTTGCAGCCCATAATACCTTAGCAAGCTCCCTTCTGAACTCCGTCTGCCCTTCTTCTTCCTCTGCATGGGTGAGGCTGAACCTATAGAGCCCTGTGGGGAGGGGGTGTCCTTTCCTTTGCTCCTGCCAGACATGCGCAAGTTCTTGCCCAGTTTGCCCAGGGTCTTGAGGGGAGAGACTCCTTTCATGCGTTCCAGGGTGCCTTTGATGGAGCTTCCCTTCCCTGATCCTCCACGCCGCACCTCATTAGCCTCATTTTCATCTTCCTCATCCTCAAACGGGTTTCTGTCCCGGGGCACACGCCCATCCAGAAGTGAGCCTCCATTGCTTCTGGGCCAGTCTTCATCTGAGCCAGGCTCCTTAAATGGATTGAGGTTAAGACTCATTTTTCTGAGAATAAACTCGCTACGTGTAGTCGACAAATCCACGCTAAACCTGCCTCCCTTCAGTCGAGACGGGAGGTTCTTAAGGACTGGCATGGTTGTGCTGGGAGGATATATGCTGTAAGAGAGATAAAACAGTTAAATGCATATCTTTCAGCATCACCACTACCAGTAGGAGCTGTGCATCCATTACAGATGCAATCTTCAGGAAATTACTGCCACACATGCCAGTACACTGGCATTCATCCATGATGCTGCTATGAACTTTCACTTTTTATGAAAACATTCCTTGGTTCTTTCCAGTTTACAACACAGCTGAAATTACATAGTACAATGCACATAGAAATAAAGAAAGCCGATCTTGTGAAAAAGTAGATTTCAATTGTGTCTGATATGTGGGTAAATGATTTATCATCTATGAATTTATTTAAAAAATACAGTAAAGTAGTTTGGCACTTACTTTTTTTTGTACAAATAAATTAATACTTCTCTATTCAGCAAGAACACAATAAAATTATCAACAAAAAAAGGATCAGTAAAGACAAATGTTTATGTTTTGTTTTGTTAAATTGTTAAATTACTGCAGTAATGGCTGCTGAAAATTCAGCATTGCCATCAAAGGAATAAATTACATTCTAAAATATATTCTAACAGAAAACAACTATTTTAAATTATAATAATATTTCAAAAACTATTTTTAAACTAGATTTTTAAAAAACGTGTTCTTTTCTTTGTCGTATGACACAATATCAACTCAATATCAACACAATATCAGCATAGCAAACAGTATTACATAACAGAGATAACAGATCTGACAGTTTTAAATGAAAGATTAATGATTTTATGATGGGTAGAATCAGAAGCACACCCTTTGGTTAATCCTGATGTTGCGGGCCTGCCTACATTACAAGGGTGATCAAATATTTTTTATACTCAATGGGAAGAAAAATGACATACAGCTCTCAGAATGAGAACAACCTTTTATTCTGGTTAGAACAATCCTCCCAAAACTTACATCTGACACTTTATATCACGACACAACCCAGTGTTATGCCTGAATATACGAAATCTTATCGTAATCTTACGTAAATAAACAAAAGGAGGCTTCAACTTGATGAACCGAGTCTATTTCAAGAAAAAATGTTTGCCTCTTTCAAAGGCTTCTTGGCTAGAATAGCCCTTTTGGATATTTATGGCTGGTGACAAAAGGGGATAGGAACAGCGCTGAATAACTTCCGGTTTGCTAATTTGTGTATGTGTGTGTGTGTATACGAGGGGGCCGATACTTAATGAATGATTAGCTTTGGGTTAACAGTCATCTACCTGGCTTCCTTGCAATAAAAACAACAATCTGCAATTTTAACAATAACTCACAAAAAAGAAAAATTATATTACCAACATTAGATCAAAGTCATATTCCATACAGTAGCCTGGAGACCAATTTCACGGTGTAACAGCCAACGAGCTTTAAATTCCTAGAGAGGGTCTATTGTTTGTGGCTTCCTACCTCTTTTAAATAATTATGTCTGCATGATTTTTCCATATGGGTCACCTACCATTCAGGGCTTATTCTTTCATGATCATTCACAATGGAAGACGTGAGTTAGGCCATGAACATACTGAAAGTGGCCGACAAGATATTTCGCAGAATGTTTCAACTGTTCTTGTCGATATAATAAAAGTCAGTGGGGAAACAACATTGGACTCCATTGACTTTCATTGTATGCACAAAAAACACTGAAATATTTGTGTTTTACAGAAGAAAGAAAGTCACGCAGGTTTAGAATGGCATGAGGTTAGTAATGATGAGAGATGTTTCATTTTTTAACCTGACTTGTCACTTGATCATTGAATCACCAGTGGGATTTAATTATTAGACAAGAAGGCAATTTACATAGCAAATGCAGTGAATGAGGAGAAAGTAAGTTAGGCAACCGCTCAAGTGTTCATTTATGCTTAAACTGTTTAACAGGGGATTTACAAGTTAAGTTAATGAGTTAATAAGAAGTTCCACTGCAGATCATCATCCTCTCTCAAAAAAATCTCTGAAATTCCAGCTCTAATTATAAGCCGTACAGTGGAGCCAATATGGAACGTCGGGTTAGATCATTGGGTGAGATATAAAAGCCATGCTACCGCTTTCCCAGACCAACTCCTCTTCCTGTCTCATTCAGGTAGGGGACAAAAGGGACAGGTCCCCCTGCATTACAGCCAATGGCAGTGGCATTCTCTAATAAGTGGATAACTGGATAAATTCAAGGAGAAATTGGAAAAGTAATATGTCACTGTAAAAATATCTTGTTAAATTGGCAGCTGTGATTGTCAGAAATTCACTATAAAAAATACAGTGACAATGTTTCAGGTATTATGGGATGGCATCTTGGTATTTTTACAACAGACAAAGACTAGATATTAAATATAAAATAATGCAATGAACATTAACTAAATAGATAATGTAACACAAAACACTCTAATGTACAGTAAAAATTAAATAAAATATAATCATATTTGACGTATCACACAGGGACTTCAGGGAATGCCTTTTTACAGTTTTTTTAAAGTAAATTATACAGTCATTTTATTTGCTAAAACAATCAATTTGATAGTATTTTACAGTACAATTACATATAATGTGATACTTAAGGGGTAATTAACCACTGACAAGATGGGGTTGTAATAAAAATTGGCTGTCTATGCAGTAGAAACGTGATTTTTTTTTTTTATCAGTGCTACATAACTAAAGAAAACAGAGAAAAAGGACTGTGGTGAAACTTCAATGATCTTAATGCACTGGGCTCAATCAGACTATCCATGAACAGAGATACAAAAGTTCAGAATTATGATCTGTGGTTTTCACAAAAACCATAAAGCTGTCCAAAGTCTGCCGGATGACCCGTTTTGAGACTTCAGTAGACGGAAAAAATACACATTGTTAATTTACTTAATAATAGAAGTTGAACTTAAAGTTTTCACTGTGTGTGGTAAGTAACAGTTGACCAATTAATGGGTTTTTACTGCATTTTTACAGATTCCCCCCCCCCCTGGAAAAACTATATTCTTGTTTGTACTTTTTGATTAGCGTCAAAGATGGTTTCTGGAGGATGCCAAAATACCAAAATCTTGTGAAATCTAAGACACATAAGCTTAGTCTCACTCTGTTTGCACCATAATCCTCCTCATATGCATCTACCATTTCAAAATTATGCGGAACCACAGACTGCAGTGTCAGTACGGTTCAAAGTCTATAGCAGGGATGGGCACATTGGGCAGTGAGTTACACTCAAACAGAGGGAGGACTGGTCTTAATATGTGACAGGCAGAGGCACTGCTTCTGTTATAGCTTTGGGTTTCAGTCTCTGGTTAAAGGAAAAGCACTGGAATGTTGAAGAGAGCCAAAGACAACCTCCCAATGACTTTCCCCACGGTGAAGTTTCAGTGCTCCTGAAGTCATGGGGTAATGCACGCATGTGATCTCAAACAGGTCCAGTGAAATTTAGAGAACTGATTATATGTGTTTTAATTGGGGAAAAAAAAACATTAGATCTGGTTGAATGTAAGATATATATTGAGCAATGTTACTGTTTAGATAGATAGATAGATAGATAGATAGATAGATTTTAGTTTGCGTGTCATTGAAGCCATAAAAGTGATTGAGGATGGAAGCGTTAAAAAGGCTCCCTCATGCCATCATTCATCACCATTATATTACAGATGAACTCAAACAAGCACAGCATTATATGGGTACCACAAGGTCAGATTACTTGTTTTGACGCAACCAACATTAGCAAATCTTAGTCGTCCATCTTGACATTGGAATATGCCCTGCTATAAAGGCTTGTGCTTTTCCAGGACACATTATCTTTCCCTTGGGAGTAAATCTTTAACTGTACAGCAGGAGAACAATGTTAGATGACCTTATGAGATTTTCTGTGAATGAGGATGGAATCTTTCTTTTTTTTAAAACGGGAAGGCTAAAGATTTTACTTAATAAGCAGGAAGAGAAAGGCATTAAGTCAGCTAGTTTAAAATTCAGCCAAACTATTTTTTTTTTTTTGCATTGTCATGTGACAAGGTTGCAAAAAAAAAAAAAAAAGATGTGTAAATGAGGATTGAATTGAAGCACAGCTAGGACAGTAATAACTATTGACATTATATTCAGTTTAGTTCATATGTTCGAGATGTATTAGTTTCACTCAAAATAAAAAAAAACTGACTCAAACAGAAAAGATAAAAATAAAATATTATATTTTGTAGTAGCTATATTTATAAGCTTTACGCCTCCTTTACCCCCTCTAATTCACCTATTTTTAAAGAAATATTCAACATAGCCTAGTAATAAAATACCCCAATATTTCATTCATTTAACACAGTTCTGATCAAATCCAGAGTTATAAACAATAAAACTGCAGCGTTATTACAGGCGGTAAAGTCTTCACAGAGTTTAACATGGTTACAAATTACACGAGAGCTTATTACAGTAAACTCTACAGGTCCAGTGAAATTTAGCACTTTATAATAACAAACGGGAAATAAAAACTTACAGAGTCCATGTCGATCGGTCTTCATGTCAGGAACCAGAAGTAAAAATATTTGAATGAAATAATGAGATATTTATTCAAATCGAGGAACGTCACCTACGCCAGCAGTTTAAACCAGAGCAAGTGACATGAAGCTGCGCTGTCAGGACTTTTACTTTTAGTTCGTGGGCTGGACTAAGAGAAAACGCACATTCAGCCGCAAGCACACAGGAGCAGGTAAACTGCTAAATGTATTTAAAAAAATACATAAAAATAAATAAATAAAATAAAGAAATGAAATGAAATAATAAAATAAAATAAAATATATAATATTTTATTTCAATCATTTAAGAATGTAAAATTTAATAGTAATAAATCACATTTATATTTAAATTAAATGAAATGATCAGAATTAAAATTATTAATTAAAATGACTTTGAGAAAACATTTTTTATTCATTTAAAATGTATTACTATTACAGTATTGTTGTTGTTGTTTTAAATATATTTTAAGAACATTTACATTAAAAGATTTACATTAAAACTACAGGTTCTCCAAAAGGGTTTAAGTGTCTGCCTCAAGTACGCTGTCATTTTTACATTGATTTAGTGTGTGTGTGTGTGTGTGTGTGTGTGTGTGTGTGTGTGATGTGTGTACCTGTTTTTCTATTCTGGTGGTGAGGATTTAAACCTGAATACACACAGACTCATGGGGACTCATGTCATGGTGGGGACCTAAATTGAGGTCCCCAAGGGTAAACAAGCTAATAAATCACACAGAATGAAGTTTTTTGAAAATCTAAAAATGCAGAAAGTTTCCTGTAAGGGGTAGGTTTAGGTGTAGGGCAATAGAAAATATGGTCTGTACAGTAGAAAAAGCATTACGCCTATGGAGAGTCCCCACAAGGAGAGCAAACCAGACATGAGTGTGTGTATGTATGTGTGTGTGTGTGTGTGTGTGTGTGTGCATGTGTGCACATGTGTGTTTGTTTAAATAGTTTGAAATCATAGTAAACATGTATTCAGGATATCCTTAATTTAAAAAAAAAGTTATTTAAAGGTATATGTGGGTTTATTTAATGGGCCAAGGGGCATTAAAATTGATCTGTAACCTCACAGCTCTTATATATATATTTTTTTTCTCGATTAACATTTTTAGATTTCACAAAACAATCAGGCAGCACACGTCCCAAGAAGAAGTCAGACAATGTGTATAGTTTTGTCTGAACAAAAGAAATGGCTCTGGAGTGCATCATGGAGGGCACATTGCAATTGAACAAGGCCTGAATAAAAGAAACTAAGCATGTTGGAGGAGTGTGAGCTTCTCCAAACTCTTGTTTTCTTAAGCATCTTGGCAGCCCATATAAGTATTATGAATTCTGTTTCCTTCAACAATATGATGAACAGTACAGAATAGCTTATTCGCTGATGCATAAACAAAGGATTGCCATGTCACGCCTCCAATGAATCTCAGGGACATTCGTAGAGGTCAAAAACTTGGCATGGCTATTTAACTCGTATTTCTTTTTCAAAAACAAGAGTGTTGACCAGTTGGGCTGATCAAATGGGGGGAATTGATTTACATACTGTACATTCAGGCTTCATAAAGGTCAAGCATTTTTCTTGGTTTTTTTTTTTTTTTTGCTTTTGCAGCTACTCACTTATCTTCTGGATGCACTTTGTCATGTCCACCTTGACCTCCCTGCTAATCAATTATAAGATGCATGCTATATTTTTCAGTTGAAACCCAACAAGGACATCACATACTTGTTCCTGTTGATTGTCAGGGGGCAAAACGCACATCAGGCCACAATTGGCGCCACATCTAAGACGAGAACTAAATAAAGAGGCACTGTATAAAGAGAAGCTGCAAACTGGGGTGAATTCTTGGCTTGGGGAGCAGGAAATAGCACCACATAACATTAACTTTGTCATTGTTGTGTGTTTGTTGGTGCATTCTTTGCTCCTGTTCTGCCTACGATGTTCACCTTGGCGACGTTTCAAATATTTCTCAACAGCCCAAGTGATACAACATCTGGCCCATGTTTTATTTGATGTGCTTTAGCAACATTTTGTGTTTTTCAGATTGATTTTTGTAAAATGTTTGTTTGACCAAACATGATGATCCCTTTGTGAGGGATCCTCTTTCTAAAATCTAATATCACATGTTTGTATATCATTTATAAAGACCCATATATACTGGTAAAAATACAATTATTATAAATATGTGTAAAATATTTAATTTCTATTATTTATTATATTATTTATCTCTTATTAGTTTATATTTATTTATTTATTTAAAAAGTATCAGATTATAAAGTATTTATTTATTTATAAAATATAATTTATAATGACCCATATATACCGGTAAAAATACAATTATTATAAATATTTATAAAGTATTATGTGTAAAATATTTTTATTATTTATTCTATTATATATCTGTTATTATTTTATATCTATATTATTTATTTAATATAAAATAGTATATTTTATATAATAATTAAATAATGTGTTATAATAATTACATTGTGTACATTTTTACCCATCATTAAGTGTACAGTTAGACATGCATATTTATTTATTTAGTCATTTATTTAAATTGTATACTTTTACATTACACAAATTAAATAATTTTAAATTATAATAATTATAAGTAGTGTTAAAAACTGATTTTAATTGCATAGTTCACAATATTTTCAAATCTGCAAAACTTGTGTATTTAAATGAGACATACATATTTATTTATTTAAATAATTATAAATAGTGAAAAATATTATAGTCATATCATTTACATTATTTTAAAATGTGTTTAAATAAAGACACTACAACTGTTTTTAAAAGGGGCTCAAATGTCTGTCCATTGCTGAATGTAAAGTCCTACTGTGATTACAGTACAACACACTATTCTTGGTTTCTCTCCCAAAGTGGTGTGCTCACAGTCACATCCCTGTTTGTCACCACTATTATGCAACTTCTTGCTGGCACCTTAGTGAAGGGTCAGCGGGGTATGGTCCAATCAGAGCCTGCCTGCATCCTGCAATGGTGCTCCATATGGACCACAGGAAAAGCCCTCTGCATCTGTGCTGAGAGAAGTGCTCTATGTCATACCACTAGAACAGCAGCCCTGACCACAGCGAGCAATCAGCCGCAGCCTTACTGACACGCTCCAGTGTGGTGGATGCCAGCAGAGGAACAGGGGCTATCCTTTATAGGGCCCATTTTAGCTGGTAGCATCCTGATTCTGTTTCGCTGTAGTGTGGGCATCTGCAAGCGGGAATGGACTGGATGGACGTCACAAGTGTAACCTTTTACATTGAGCGGGTCAGGTTAAAGCTAATTTAAGAGGTTTGTGGGGGAAGATATCAGTCAGCATTTGAGGAAAGATTGATTATGGCATGGCTTTGTCTATCCCAGGGTTTTATGGTTGTCATGTTATTGCTGTACATGTGTTTTCTATCGTCAGCATTGTCTGTTTACTCTTGGCACAGGTGTTGTTTTCACATGCTCAGAAAAAAGGTACAAAAGCTGTCGCTGGAGCATTAATTATCCTTTCAAAAAGGCAATCTTGATGGTACACATCAGTTGTACATGTTATACACGTTATATATAAGCACTTTTTGAAATGGACAGCTTTTGTTTTTCTTCTCTCAACTTATATTACATTTTTTAATCTGGTTTTGTTATATAATGAATGTTAAATAAAAAATATTATGACAGTATGATGTTGTGTGTTGTGTTGTGTTTTTATCATTTTAATTAAGATGATGTAATTTAAATCATTTTGGTTATATTACATAATATTACCTGGAAGTCTGCTGATGCCCCCTAGTGGGCACCGGCCCCCGACTGAGAACCACCGTTCTATGGCATATTCATTTGTGAACTGGCAGCAACTATTCAAATAAGGCAGATGCCTTTGTGGAAACAAACAAACACACAAATCCTCAAAAGAGAACAAAACTACACAAGGTCAAAGAACATATAAGCCGGACTAAATTCAAAAACAGTTCACTTATTATTCAAATAAATTCATACTTCTTTTGTTGTTTATTTAAGAAAAACAAAAACACGGTTTTCCGTGTCATTTAAATGCAAATGAATTTTGCACATTGTTAGGCCTATGCAATTCAAGGTAACATGAAAACATTTTGACAGTTTGATTTTGGGGGGTTTTGTTGTTGTTGTTTAACATTTTTAGTATCAGTTAGGTCCCCACTTGATGTTCAAAGCCAAATCTGAAGTGAAACTAGTTGAAACCCAGCTGATTACAAAGACCTCTATCTTTCTGTTTTGAGACGAGATGTCCAGAGAAAGTGATTTCATAAGAATCAGTACCCGACACATGTGAACATCATAACATAGACGATGCTAAATAAATCAAGATGTACTCATATTCCACAATCATAAAGATCAAAACCGCTTTCCAGTTTTGTATATACAAGAAGTGTACAAAAAGTATGAAGACTGAAGTATACTTGGCATATCATTGGCACCGAGACCTACACAACATCCACTCAGCTCACCACAACATCAGAATAACCTTCTGCACCCAAGAGAAACAGCTGAACCCCATGACATTTAAACTACTATTATTAAAGTACAAAACGTGCCTCCACTTGTCATTTCAGCAGTTTTGACCCTATGAAAAGTCAGAAAGCCCTGTCAAACCAGAAAAACGTTCTTCTTACCTTGTTTGACAGTGAAGCGATGGTAAATCCCTAAAAGACTCAGAGCAGGGACATCCCAGTGTCCCAGAGGTTTTGTATCTGTGTATGTGTTTGTGTGTTAGTTTGTCAGGCAGTTACTGTAAGTGTCCAACTCAGAGAGTAACTAACTATACATGTGCTGCCGTCCAACTGAAAGTGCGTCCGAAGCCCGGGGCTAGCTATGGTCACTTCCTGAGTTGTTTTGGAGCGCAAAAGATGATGCTTTTTCCTCAGGAAGCCAGCCATCCCCTTTCCTTTCCACCAGCTCCGAGCTTCCCCCACCACCTCTTGGGCCTCTGGGATCATGGGCACTATGGCTCCATTGATTACTCTGGGAGGCGTGGATGCAGTACAGTAGTTTTCTGTTTATTTCTTTATTGACTGGCATGGATATGTGTACTTTTGACTAACATGATTGGTCATCATTGGTGTGTGGTGTGAGGGAAGTGGATCTGAGTGTGTAGGAGTCCACTGTCCTGCTCGGCTTTTGTCTGGAGAGTGTTTGTTGATGCTAAATGTCCTAACACATCTGAAGGTGTTTATGGGTTGAAAAAAGCAGGGCAGACTTGCCGGGTTGCTGTGCCCGGGTCAATGAGTGCACCTGCACCGTCTCTGCGTGGGGTAGTTTGTTTGTTTTCTTACAGCAAGACTCGGCATTGTATTAGACCCACGGATCTATAGAGGCTTTGATCAGCACTGTGGTAATCAGTGCTATTCATGTTGTTTACATCATTGGAACAAGCATGATTTTGCTGCTTGAAAGAATTTGCACTGCTCTATCTGAAAAGCAATGTTTCTTTTGGTTTCTTTTATCCCTTTGTTGACAGGCCTCACCGTCGACATGGTATGCTTCTGATATAGCATGTGCTTACAAAATGTTAACTTTGTACAGAGTTTAAAACTGCCATACATGTGTTTCCATCTTTCAACAAGCAATACTGCTGATTGATTGGCTGACTTGTTGTTTATGAAAGCTGAATAAGAGCTGCAACTGAATGCCAATGTCCGTGAATGAAACTATTACAGTGAAGATATTAAATTATAAAACATCTTCTGTGATGATTTTTAATAGAAAATGGTTTGTAAGTCAAGTGAAACACATTTATGTTATACAGTAACATATACAATAGCTTGTGTAACCAAAATATCTTAAAACAAGATCCTTGTTATGCACAGATGCATTACTGCCCTCTGCTGTCTTTTTCAGAAGGTGAGAAGATTTTTTTTATAGGATAGCTCAACATCTTTTGTTAGATAGATATATCCATAATTTATCCTGAAATTTCTTAATTTATGGTAAAGAAAAAAACACAAACTCATAAATCTGTCATTATTTAAATTTGATTATGTGTGTGAAATTAAAAGGTAGAAAATCAAACCTGCAAAATCAAATACAAGCACAAAACTATTTACATTTATGCATAATAAATACCTTAGTAAACATAATAATAATAATTAACAGAAGACATACAGTAGATTTATAATTATTTTATTTCACAAAGATATAACGGGTTATATACAGCATTATTTATTTCTGTGTTCTTTAGCTGGAGTGTTTTTGTTTCATTTAAAATGAAGGGATACCAAAAGATAAATAGCCCATTATTATTTTTTTGCTCAGTTTCACATCATTATAAATACAAAATAAAACAAACAAGGAAAACAGGCAAGGAAAAAAAAAAAGCTTGGCAAAAAAAATTTCTAGCACTCTGCCACTGTACAAACAAACATACTGGTGAATTACACAAACTAAATACAGAGCTAGAAGAGGAAAACTCAAGAATTCATTCAAAATGTGGAGTCTTCTTCAAACATACAATAAATTTGACCAGCTTGAGTAGTTCATATAGTAGCAGCAAACATATTAACAATACCTTATTATTTTGTCACAAACCAGCCTTCATTTCTACTGGGAAAAAGCTTAAGCTGTCAGTTTTAATGAAGCATATTAAATTCAGCACTGATATTCAAGACTTTTTCCTGAAAAATTATTTAATCCTGCAAAATCCAACCACATACATAAACAACACAACAGGGAATTACTGTAACTGATTTGAAATCTAAAAAGCACCTTGCAAAAATCGTTGGTCCATTTGTGGAAAAACTCATGGGTTCAGCATAATAATAATTAAACAATCTAATTTCATGAGAAAAATCCTTTACATGGGTCAGTATTTCAAAGGAAAAACTCTTTAAAATGGCTGTTATGCACTGAACAAATTGTTTTCTCAGGTGACCTAAAATTTACTAAATTAACTTTTTATTAAAGCCAGATACGTTTTTTAAATATAACCGAATAAACCTAGATATTGAAGAAAAATGCGATATGCGATAACGCTTAAAATAATGCGATATTCGATATGCGGTACGATAATGCTTAAAGTGCCACATGCTCAGATGAAACAGTTTTACTCAGCTGTTGCTGAGTCAGTTCTGTGAACTTCTATAACTATCTTGTGTCATATATATATGGTTATTTGTATGTATGTATGTACCAAGAGTTCCCGTAAAACCACAACAAATTCCTTGTGTTTGCGCACACTTAAGTGGTGAATAAAGCTCATTCTGATTCTGATTCTAATAAGAAAGCACCCCTACAACAACTCCTGAAAGTGAACGGTAGTGTTTTACTCGAGCATTACATAAAAATGCCATTTTAACATTAGTGTAATCATTTTAACATGAGTTTAGGAACTAAATAATAAAAAGGAAAATTAAAAAACTGCTTAGAATTTACTCTTTGAATTCAATATGCACTGATTCTTATTTAAGCTACAAAAGTTATTTAGGTAAGAGCAGTGAGTGATTTTCTCTTTGTCTTTTGTTCATGGCCCCAAATATTGCAAGCTGTAGCGATATGCATATTGCGATATGTACATGTGCGATATTTTGATAATTTCGATATATTGCACAGCCCTAAACCTGACTATACTGGGTTATACCAATGAAAGCAATTTTAAGGGATCAGGTAGAAATAATTATTTAAATGAACAAATACACGTTCATTATGTGAAATCACTTCTACTGAAACAAACAATTACAGACAAATTTATAATATAAAAATGTAAAAATGATAAAGACAACAGGTCCATGCAGTGGTTAGTCACTCAGTGTTTTACTCTGAGCTTTAGGCAAAATTTTTACATAAATATTTTTATAGGTTTTATTTTTTATTTTTTTTATTTTTTTTGTTACTTCACAAATTAAAGACAGCAATATGTGCTGCTGATGCCTTGATATGAAGCGTTTTTGATACAGAAGACTGAAGAGCTGTAGATGTTTGAGCAGGTGCTCAGTTTCTCTCAGTGTCAGGAGAGCCCTGGCGATCAGGGAAGATGTGAAGCTGGGAATGTTCAATCCCATTGTTGTGAAGATCTTCTTGTTTCTGCAAACCATGAAGTTTATTCACCAATTCTGTGATGAAGACCTGATGAAGACATGGAGAAAATCACACCATCAGAGAAGAATCTTTAAAGACATGATGAAATATGTCAGCAGTATCTGATTGAAAACAACGCAACTTATAAAAATAAGACCTGAATCGCTTTTAAAAGTATCGACTTGTCAATATAAACTTCTCCAATTTTGTCAACAGAGGGCAGCAAAGGACGATGCAATGGTTGTAGCCCAGCTCTAGAGGTTTTAGCTGGTTAGCATGTCTCATTTAGCCCCTACTGGTGGTTGTTGTAACTACATCATCTGGCTATAGAAAGCATTGAGTAAAAATATTTTATTTTTCTGGGTATTATCCCATAACACAAACATGTTTTGATAAAGAATTTTGTCTATTCATTAACACTCACTATTTCCTGCAGTGTGAAAGTGAGTCACTTTTATATCTACGATAAACTTAAAGACTTGCAGGGGGTTATTTCGTTAAAGATAAAACACTAAAGCTATGTGTGGAAATTGTGTGATAGAATTATAACATATGATTAGCAGAAGGGAGGGAGAGAAAAGGGAGGTAGGTGACATACTTCTGTGTTGTTTCCACAGGTATGAAGAATGTCCTACAAGAAACAGAAATAGATAGATTTAATAAAGAGCATGACACAGATCGTGTCCCTGCTAAAAAAACTTTTTTTAATGGTTGGATGGTTAATGCTGGTTTGATTCTTTCAACCAAAGAGATCTTGCTAGTTAAAGGAATAGTTCTTTAAATATATTAATTTTTTTCTAAAACCCTATGGGTTTCGATCTTATGTGGAAAACAAAAGAAGAAATTTAAGAAGAAGAAGAAATTGCTCATAAAAGTAGTTCATATGATTCATATTTCAGGAGGAACTGTTCCATTAAACTAGTTAAATAAACCACATACTGGTGACCAGTAGGTTTTCCTCATCAGTAGTTTCAGAAAGCAGATACCTTAAGCTTCTGCATCCTTTCTTCATCACTTTGTAGATCTAGTAGCTCGTCAATGTTCACTTCTTCTGGCATATCCTCTTCCTGTGAGGAGAGAAACAGTCACATTTAAAGGGGTCATATGATGCGATTTCAATTTTTCCTTTCTCTTTGGAGTGTTACAAGCTCTTGGTGCATAAAGAAGATCTGTAAAGTTGCAAAGACTAAAGTCTCAAATCCGATTCAAACGCGAGTTTTGGTGCAGTGTGGATTAACGTTAGCACTTGTTGTTTGTCATTTCTCCGATCACACATGCAGACATGGTTTTATGTTTACACGATGCGATGCAACGCAACGTGTAAAAAGACAGTATAAGTCATTATAATCCATAATTATGTCCCCACTGGATGCAACAAATGCCTCGTTTATAATGGGTTTTAATGTTTTTGTCTCGTCACACCGGCCGGACAGGGCATCACAATATGGTAAGGGCGTAACATTTGCGTCACACGCTTGAGGTATTCGGCCAATCACAACGCACTGGATAGCCGGCCAATCAGAGCACACCTCGCTTTTCAGACTGATGAGCTTTGTAAAAATCAACGCGTTTCAGAAAGGCGGGGCATAGAGGAGAAACAATAATGTACAGTATGTGGAAAATAATGTGTTTTTTTAACTTTAAACCGCATAAACAAATTTCATTACACCAAATACACAAAATAATGTTCTTTTTAGCAACATCATATGACCCCTTTAAGGCCTCTTCACACCTTCATGAAAAATGATGAAAATCTTATGTCACTCTCTGACAGTAGGTGGCACATCTGGA